CAGTATGAGACCCACGAGAATGATATCCGCGTAGCAATCGACTTTGTGTTAAAATTTACATAATGAGTAAATTTAATCAACCAACAGCCTAACTTGTCTCTCAGCTATTATCCTTCTCGAGGTGGTTTTGGTTTAGCAAAAGTAAAACCATTTCGATATTCAATTTAACCCAAATTTGAATCCAAATTGGCTGTCTTACCTTATTTGCACCCTTCAGCAAAAAGCTTTGACCATCAGAATTTTGCAATTTGTTACAAAATGTTTATTCGAAACACATCACTTTCCGGACTATCATTTCGGATTTGTGACCGGTGGACGAGAGAGCGACTGCTTAAAGCAGCCTTCTACTTTGCTCCATTTACACTAGCCGGCCTTCGACTGGTAAGGCCGCGTATCACTGGACTACGTGAAAAGGTGCTTACTAAACAGGCATCTTGAGAGATCTCCTTGTGGCGTCAGAGTGAATTCAATGGAAGTGAAGCTGCCACCGTGAATACAGGGCGGTCGTATGGAGCACCAATTTGGGAGCTAATTTAGCAGCCCGCCGTTGCGTAAGTCATGTGAATTAAATGTGCCACTCTTTCATGCACCATCCTACAGATGGAGGTGTCACTCAATCCTCAGAAAATAGAGGGGTAATGCCTAATTAACGGTATAGAAGTCACCATGTGGTGTCATTTCCTCGCGGCATTAAAAAAAAGCCCAGCTCAAGCAATTGTTGAATCTAAATTTTTTTCTCAAACTCGGTTTCCAATTTTTTCCTACAGACTTCAAATGTTCTTGAGATCTTACCTCCCATCCATGCGATGGATGAATTCAGCAAGTCTGAACCAACATTTTATTCACCACCGTCAACTTTAGAGTAGTGAAGAGTGAATTGGCCTTGTAACCACAGTGTGGCTGAATAATATGCCTGGTTTGTTGACTAAAGTTATTCTTCAATGGCACTGAAATTTACGCTCTTTCATTTTTAATATAGGTCTGGTAAAGTGACAATGAAATTGAAATTTATGAGCATTTTCAGGCTCCTTAAAGGTGTTACAACCTTTCTAAATAGGTTCTACAGCAACAGCATTTCTTCTAACGTTGGTCTAACTTTTCCTTTGCTCAAAAGCGTGGGCTTGGTGACTTCAAGGATGGCATTTTCCGCTTATGAGGAGGGGATGTGCCGCATATGCCGAGGAAGAGAGAGGTGGCTGCAGCACTCTCTGATTGTGTGTGCGTGTGTGTTTACAAAGCATGAAATAGACAAAACACTTTTCCACTGTTGGCAATGGGCTCCACTCATCTATTCTATGCAGACGTCCTGCCATAAGCACCAAATGGAGTCACTTTGCCCTTCCTGCCCTTCCATTATGGTGCAGACCTCCACGCTTAGAGCAATCTTGACGCAAAAAGTACTTGATGCAATCGCCAAGGTGGCGTAAAGGTTGAAGCCTAAGGACTAATCGTGTTGAAGTGGATACTTTTTCAGCTCTCTCTCCTCCTTCATAGGTGAGACCATCTGTGGACTGTGCCAGTCGTCAATGGTGTGTCCTCGTTTTCAGGGAAGTCTTGAAGATCTCCGCCATCTCCATCACTTTTGGGCTTATGAAAACAAAACATTTACTACACCTCATGCATTCCCAAAACCAAATCTGTGTTTTACATTGCCCCTGTTCGGAGCTACAAGTCGTGCTGTTGGAATGCATTCAAAGCACTTATGGTTAAGGTAATTTGGACTTTTACGACTCACATTAATTTTATACGAGGTTGGAAGATAAAGGATCGTTATTTTGCTGCATTCTTTCTTGAGTTTTATCACGAATTCTTCTGAGGGTACTATCTATTACACGGTTAGTCACTTTACTAAAAACATGATTCCCATGATCATTCTACTTTTCACACCACTAAGCATTTTTACTGGATGTGGAGCGAGCGGCACAAACGACGAACATTTGGTGGAAATGTGGTAGTCATCTACCTTTACATGGTGTTCTGTTCACATTTGTAACAGCATGCCTTTTGGTACGGTTATGCTTTGTAGAATGGGCAACGATGTCGCATTATTTAAGTTACCTACTTTTGAAAACTGTCGTATCAGTACCCTGATTCACTGAAGAATCTATCTGCCAAGTCCAAGCATCATAGAAGGTTCCTTTTCCCTCGTCATTTGTGAGGCCTTTCTTTGACTCTGCTCCTATCACTTTTGGGTCTATCGCATCAGCACTCTCCTTTCCTTCCTCCGCTTTGCCAAAGGCTCTGGCCTCAGTGACCCGAATGGAATGGATGGAGAGGAGAGTGGCGTTTTTTATGTCCAAAGCAAGTCCCTGGTCGAAGGTGCATTTGCTTAGGAGGCAGGCGTATTGGCCGGAGTCTGAGGGGTTCGCAGCGAGTACACGCAGTCCCACTCCGGACACCATTGGAATCTTAAAGATCCCCATAGATTCGGCAATGCCATCGAAGTTCTGTGTGACTTTCATTTCGAGATAGGTACGTCGTCCATCACCACCCCATGGATCGACAATTCGGTTCCAGCGTCGATGAATCCACCGAAGTGAATAGTGATGTATACCAGAACCACTAAATGCGGAGAGAACAAGTCGCTTCGCGTCTGTGCTTGTATAGCAGGGCAGGTCAATCAAACCACCCATTAAAACGTCATGAGAAAAGGGTCCGTCGAAAGTGAACTCCGCTTCTATCATGATTACGCATCTCAGACTCGCCAGCAGTGCGAGAAACGCGCGATAGTACATGGTGTCCCTTCGGTTGGGAGACCGAATTCTGGTCGATCGAAAGTACACCTTCAATTTGAAATTCATTTAACTCGTGATGGCGGTTTCAAGAGGCATGACAATTAAAGAGGTTAGTAAACTGATCCCCGGTTGTGTTTATTTTCGCCCTTTCATAATGGACATTTAAACTTTACACTTCTCAATGTATTCTGATTGCTTTTTAGCCTCATAGAGGTGAATTACTGCTTGGTTTAGCTTAATTTGCATTTTTTGAGCCATTTGCCGTAGTAATAT